GCGGAGCAGCAATCATAAGGCCTTAAATGCAGTGAGCGCTATAAATAAATAGCAGTTGGAGTTTGCGGAAATTTACATATAAGGCGCAAAATCAGCTATACATAGAAGCGTACATAGCCAAGTAACGGGATGTTATTCCCTCGTTTGCTTTGCGCTTATCTTCCCGCTGAAGCCGAATTTCGGGCATTTCGTCTGCTGTTGTTGTTGAAGCCATACCTACGGGAACTTTTGGAGATTTTACCGCTGATGCAAGCAGGGCAATATTTTTAAAGCGCAAGGCAACGGCTTTATTTAATAGAGTGGAGCGCTTAGTGGATTCCCTATCAAGTGCGGGGTTAACTTCATGCGACGAATCTGGTCTTCATGTGAGGTTGGAGTTAATTGATGAGCTTCAAGAGTCATTTAAAAAGGTGCTCGGTGAGCTCGAAGAATTGGATTTCGAGGAAATTGAAACTGATTTAAGCGAGAAATTTGATGACATTCTCGTAATTCTGAAGTCATCGGTTCGATCCGAAATTTCAAAGCGCGCCTCACAGCTTTTTTCGCACTCAACTTTTGCTGACGGCGTCACTCCGGGAGTTTTCGGCCCCCAGCAGCGTCAGCCTCGACATAGGGCAGCATTGCTGCCCCCACTGGAGCTTCCAAAATTCGCTGGAGGTTATGCAAATTGGTCTGACTTTTATTCTATGTTTACCACGATCATAGATAGTCATCCGGACCTCACCAACGTAGAAAAGCTGCAGCATCTACGATCGAGCCTGAGGGACGCAGCGTTGGAAACTATTCGCTCATTGAAAATTTCGGATGGCAACTACGCAATTGCTTTAGATTTGCTGCAAAATAGATTTGATAATCGACGTTTGGTTTGTCAGGCACACATTACTGAGATCCTGGGACTAAAGGCGGTGCAGAGTGGAATTCAACGCTCATATTTGTGCTCTCATCGTCCAAGTCCTGTTCCAAAACTTGGATCCGGCAAGTCAGGCAAAGTGCCTGCCTTCGTCAATTTAATTCCTACGTGGGAGTCAATGGCATCATTTCTGGAGCAGCTATGCAGAACGTTGGAGACTATGGATTTCGCCATGGCAAACTATGCGCCGGGCAATCAGGTGGGAAGTAACAGAATACCCAATGCGCGTAGATCAGCATTTGTTGCCTCGAATTCTAACCCTTGGATTTGTATATTCTGTAATGATACGGGAGCATTCCATTTCTTATTGTCAGAATTTTAAAATCCTGTCAAGAAGCGAAACGGCTCGGTCTTTGCATAAATTGTCTTAAGGTTGGTCATCCAGTTCGGCAATGCAACTCCAGTAGTTGTCGTGCATGCGGATCTAAGCACCACACCCTGCTTCACCTGGCAAACTCACCTTCCTTTCATTCACAAGAAGGAGCACAGATTCAAGAAGCACTTCCCTCTACCTCACCCTCTGCACTGCCTTCCACTTCGACTGCTCTTATTACACAGGAGTTTAGTAATGATATTGTGCTCTTAGCAACGGCTAGCGTTTTAGTAAAAAATCGTTCCGGGGTTTTCGTTCCCTGTCGAGCTCTACTCGATTCGGGCTCCCAACTGCATCTAATAACGCCCCGATTCGCAAATCAGCTTCAAGTAAAGAAAATAAAATCTTCAGCATCTGTAACTGGAATAGGAGATTCAGTCCCGAACTTCCGAATACTCAGCTAACATTACCGCGGTGATTGCTCCGAACATTACAGAGCTACAGCCTAGCTTTAACGTCGAAATTGGCAGCAGCAGAACATACCCAAAAATATACAGTTAGCTGACCCAAGGTTTTATGCTCCCCAGCGGGTGGATCTTTTAATCGGAGCCAGGCTCTTTTTCGAGATGTTGTGCGTTGGCCAAATCAAGCTCCCACCTGGATTACCCCTAATTCAAACGAGGCGTCTGGGTTTTTTCTGGAGGTTATGGCCTTTCCAATGGCTCGGCCTTAATGTCGTCTCAAGATGTATTAGGTCGGTTAGATGATCTTCTTATTCGACGATTTTGGGAAGTGGAAAGCTGCACCGAGCCAATTGTACGCGCTACTAAGGAAGAATTGGACTGTGAAGCACATTTCGTAAGACACGTCGTTCATTTGCCAGCTGGTGATTATTCTGTTCGGCAGCCTGCCAAGTTCAATCTAGACTTTTGGGAGAGTCCTACCAGCAAGCTTATCGAAGATTCTTGTCCCTATAGAGAGAGTTGAATCGTCAGCCAGCCTTGAAGGCTCAATATGCAGAATTCATAAAGGAATACCTCGATCTTGGACATATGTCATCAGTTTCTGCCGCTGACATCGGGTTGTGCCGATACTTCTTGCCTATTCATTGCGTCCACTACAAAGCTTCGCGTAGTTTTTGATGGATCGGCAGCCAGTTCCTCAGGCTATTCTCTCAACGATGTTCTTATGGCAGGCCCTGTTATTCAGCCTAAGCTGTTCCAGATTCTTCTTCGGTTTCGTTCACGTCCAGTAGCAATCGCAGGAGACATTTGCAAAATGTACCGTTGTGTTAGGGTTCAACCTAAGGACAGCCATTTGCAATGCATTTTGTGGAGGGATTCCCCCAGGACCAATTGCGGGTGTTTAAGCTAGACACCGTTACTTATGGTACGTTACTAATGGCTTCACTAGATGTCGCTCTACTTCTACAAACCTACTTGAATTTACGTCTTTAATCACTAGAGGTTTTCTGACACATCATCAAACTGATGTGATTTATACCGATTTCTCTAAAGCTTTTGATTCAGTGAACCATAGGATTCTTATTTATAAATTGTCCCTTTTAGGTTTTCCACCCAACCTACTAGAGTGGATACTTTCCTACCTTTCTAATAGAACTCAAATGGTCTGTTTTAATAATAAAATTTCCAAAATAATTAATGTTACTTCAGGAGTGCCACAGGGTAGCCACCTGGGACCTTTACTTTTTGGCTTAATGATTAATGATCTACCTTATGTTATAAAATTGTCAACTGTTTTAATGTATGCAGATGATGTCAAGCTATGTTTGTCCATGTGTTTACCTAATTCATATAATGACCTTCAATTAGATTTTGATTGTTTGTATACGTGGTGCATGATTAACAAGTTGAATTTGAACTATTCTAAATGTAACTTTATGACCTTTTATCGTAGTAGTCCATCTCTGTATTCTTATTGTATCGGTAATAACGCCCTTGAACGTATTTTTTCTGTTCAGGATCTTGGCGTTCTATTTGATCATAAACTTAGTTTTAAAGACCATATATCTACTATAACTAACAAAGCCAGAAGTCTCCTGGCGTTTATGAAGCGCTGGTCAAGGGAGTTTGATGATCCATACACAACAAAGCTTTTGTATGTTTCTCTTGTTCGTCCCTCAATGGAATATTGCTCGTGTATATGGTCACCTCAAATTAGCTGTTACCAAAATATGTTAGAGTCCGTTCAAAAACAATTCCTTTTATTTGCTTTGAGAGGTTTAAGCTGGGACACAGGAAGTCGATTGCCCTCTTATCATGCGAGGTTGCGCCTGCTGGACTTACCAACCCTGAACCATCGTAGAAAGTGTCATGGAGTTATGTTTTTGCATAAATTAATTAATGGTGATGTTGACTCTCCCTTCCTTCTTAGTTCCCTCAACTGGAATGTACCCTGTAGAACAGTTCGTCGTTTTCGTCCGTTGTCCCTGCCAATTTGTAGATCCAATTATGCCCTTCATGATCCTTTTCGGGTTCTTTGTGACGACTATAATGCACTGTGTCACGTCTTACTGTTTGATAGCCCTAATGCAACTAATTATGATAAACTTATGTATTTTCTATCTTCCAATAATTTGTAAATTTCTATGTTACTAGCCATTCTATGTGAGCATGTATTTTAAACTGTCTATTTTTATGTCGTCTTTTTCCATGTCCGCGATTTCGTTTACTTGCCCAAATCGGTTTAGGGCTCCGCGCGTAACAAGCATTGCTTGGTGTCGTAAGGGCCACTTGTTTGTACTGACCATAGTGCATCAACGTCCAAGAATTACTCACTTTCATGAACGCAATCTGCACACTGGGCCACGGGCATTACTCAGCATAATTCGACCCCAATATTGGCCTATTGGGGGGAGGAAAACGAAGGGGAGGGAGGGAGGAATGTGAAGGCGGTAAAAAAATGTATTAGATGCTTTCGAATGAAGCCTAGAGTAGTGGAGCATATAATGACGGATCTTCCAAAGGAACGACTTGATGGATCTCATGCGTTCGAAGTCACTGGTATTGACTTTTGCGGGCCAAGCCTGTTTGCGTCTTCATTTGTTTCGCCACGAAGGCTATTCATTTGGAGTTAATCAAGGACCTCTCTACGGTATCGTCTCCACATGGCCTCAAACGATGTATATGCACTAGAAGAAGGCCGCGGCATATTTGGTCTGATAATGCAACCAACTTTGTTGGCGCTCGCAATGAGCTGCTCGAACTAAGGCGCCTATTCCTCAGCAGTGATCACCAGAGAGCTACGTTGGACTTTTGCCTAGCGGAGGCTATTGATTGGTATTTCATTCATCCTAGGTCGCCACACTTTGGCGGTCTTTGGGAAGCGACTGTGAAGATCGCTAAGCATCATTTCTACCGCGCTGTTGGCACTGCTGTTTTAGCCTTTGAGGAGTTGCGGACCCTGGTGTGTCACATTTCGGCGATTGTTAGTTCCCGACCATTAGTCTCGATTTCAGAAAACCCAGCTGATCTGGATGTATTAACCCCAGAATATTTTTTGGAATGGTGGCCCGCCTTCCTCTTTCGTCGAGCCGGATGAAACCAGTCTTAACTTCAATCGCTTGGATGGATGGCAACGCGTGGCTTACTTGCAGCAGATCTTTTGGTCCCGATGGAAGGAAGAATACTTAACATTACTGCAGCAGCGCTCCAAGTGGCGCACACCAAAGCCTGGCCTGGTTGTCGATGACTTAGTTCTGGTCAAGGACGAAAACTTGCCTCCCATGAAGTGGCCCCTCGCCAGAGCGATCGAACTTCTGTTCGGTGGAGATGGGGTTGCTCGAGTTGCCGTTCTGAAGACAGCATCAGGAGTGACAAAGCGAGCAGTAAGCAAGCTGTGTCTGCTTCCCCTTAAGGGAACGTTCTCTTTGTTTTGGATCAAAAAATCGATTTTTTTTTTTGCAAAAATTGAAAGCCACATATTCGTAGAGTATGTGTGTGAAAGGATTTTTCGATACGATGAATAGTTTGTAAATGAGAGCAGAACCAGAAGCAGTTCGAACTTGAAGAAGGAATCCTCTATGGTCCAGGGATATGCGACTAAAATCCTGATGTAAGTAAAATTCAGCAATATTCTTTTTTTTTGCACCATTAACCTTTTTTTTCGAGTTTTCGCCAACGCCGAACGTTGATTTTCGGTAAAATCAACGTTCGGCGTTGGCAAAAACTTGAAAAAAAAAGTTTTTGTCACAAATTTCCGGAAAAAAAGTTTTTTACGTCCACTGTACTGTATTTGTGATCTTTTATTAAAAAAGTAATGATTAATACGCGTCCACTAACCACGAAAACTAAAGAAACAGACGTTTTCATGTAAATTAGAATATGCAAAGTTTTTTAAATCCGCCATATTGGGTCCGCCATTTTGAATTTTGACATTTTGACTTCAGATTCGTGTTCAGCGACCCTGAAAACCCATAAGATCGAATGGTGGTCGTAATAACTAATCAAACAAAAAAGTTATTCTTAGTCATTCTTTTAAAAAACTTTAAACGCGATTTTCTCGAAACCATGTTTTTCAAAAAAATTCCGCGTCCACAGCTTCATCCTGTGAACCGATTTGCTTCATGTAAAATTTTTATGAAAGTATATGCTTTTTTATTGGGCACTAAGCTACTCCGGAAATAAACAATAATTTATTTATAATTTTTCAACGTGGTTTAACTGAAAAAAAATGTACGAAAATCGAACTTTAAAATTCGAACATTCATTACGCGGTCAATTTATGGCCGCAATTTGATGCCATTAGGTTAGTGCCTTACAAAAGTATATTAACTTTAACTAATGATAACAATTTTCTATTTCAGTTGACTACAAGAGGCTGCAGGCTCGGAATTTTTGGACGATGTTTGCCGTGCGGAGGCAGATGAAAGCCGCCATTTTGCAGCCGCCATTTTGAATTTCACCATCAAATAAATTTTAAAAAAATCTTGATTAATAAACAAATTCAAAAAGCAAAACCCGAAGTTCGTACACCTTTTCATTATCCCACAAAAAATTGACGAACTTTGCCTTCATTTCGACCAAAACAAAGAGAACGTTCCCTTAAGGATGATATTGAAACCCAGGCTTCCAACGGGGGGAGTATGTCGGGTCACGCAGCCGCAGCAGCTAATTAACTTATTTCGATCTCTTATATTAATTGCATCGCGAAAGGTAGCTCTCTCTATCTAGCTCTCTAGTAAGCGTGGAAACATTTTTTAGGTCAATCGATAGGTATTGACAAGACCAATACATTTTAGATAAAAATTTCATATTTTTTTCAAGTTTGTGGGCGACAGAGTGGGAATGGCAAATTGGCATAAAAATTTGCGTACGAAGATATGGAATCTAAATCTGAAATCTTAACTCTCTATCTGTTATACTTTTCGAGATATCAGACTTCGCATGGACAGAAAAATCTAGAATACATATACTTTTTGGCGTCAGAGATGCTATCTTCTACCTGTTACATACGCTTTCCCGAATTGAATTCAATTCGAAACAGCTCAAACAAATCAAATAAGAAAAACTGTTGCCCATAATTTTTAACAATGGTATCTAGACAAATCATGCTAAGCAGTATAATGAAACACCTTTCCAACGACATATACCACAATCTTGTAGCTAGTTACGACAAACAAAATCGAGTTTTTCCAAAAAGGTAGAACTAAAGTTCCATTTATTAAGCTGTTTAACATCATCAACCATTTCCAAAACCCTAAAACAACGTTTTGGCAAACAAAAAAATTTTAATTTTCAAAAAAAAATTTCCCCCAACACCTCCAAATTTCCTAAATTCTAAATCCAATTAACTTTCTGATAGTTTTGGCGTGCAATCCTTTACATTTTGGTTATACCTTTCGATCAGTGTATAGCTCGTTAGGATATCCTTCAATAGATCTGCTGAACTGGAGCGTAAAAATAGTACGCTACCTTTTCGTGATACATGATACATTGTTGTTGACGTGTATCGATGAGTGAAATATCGATAAGAATTAACATAATTATTATTTAAAGGCCATGAAGTAAGTTAAATTCTTTAAAACAGTTCTGTCCTTTTTGATTTTTACCTGTCTACGATTGATGTGCGCAGTGCTACTGTTGCGGTGGCAACCGATATCGTTCTAACAAACGCCATATTAATCGAAAAACAGTTGTTTACAAAGTGATTGTCCCTTACATGTCCCTTACAGTAGGACCAATTTAAGAAGACATTTGAAGTGCATAGTGGAGTTTTTTAGGTAAAATGTTTAACTTTTTCGGCGTCGTAATGTATCACGAGCGTTTAGCAGAACAAACTTGATCACTGCTTACTGATGGAGCAGTATTCAGTTATCATGTTGTTCTTCTGAACGCGGCTATTGTTTTTGTCCGCCGTCGTAAAAAAATACAAGAAATACCCGTTACTAATCTAAAGGGAGCAAAAGGGGATGGAGATGTACAAGTAGCAAGGCGAGCCACCTACTCGCGATCTTAATATATGGCTATGTGGGCGGCAGACATATTTAAGCGTAATGGGCGTTTGTAAGCGTTAGAGGGAGCGTGGCAAACTAATACAGACTAATACATTTCAGTAAAAATTTTGTTCTAGCATGAAAACTGTGGGCACCGCAGTCTTGGTTCGCGTAAAAAACTTTTTTTTCTATCATCAAAACTGTGAGCGCCACATTTTTGGGCGTCAAAGTGGGCGTGGCAACATTTTTTTTTAAGTCAATCGATAGGTATTGACGGAACGAATTTAGATTAGCTTACATTTTTTTGTAGCACTAAAACTGTAGGACCCACAGTTTTGGTCGGCTTGTGGGCATAACAAACTTGCACAGCATACGAAGCTAAGGAATCTAAATCTGAATTACCAATTCAATGTCTTTAATAGTTTCCGAGATATCAACTTTCACATATCCGATTTATTTGAGTTTGTGGGCAGCTTTTGGGCGTCAGAGTGGGCGAAGCACATTGGCATACTAAACTTGCGCTGCGTACGAAGATATGGAACCTACCCAGTCGTAAATGACAGCATTCCAGCATGCGTTCTTTCATTATGAAATGGCATCAAAAAGGTGTTCCGGAAGTGATGAGTCTGTCCATTCTTTTTACACGGGTGCGGGACAAAAAAGAATGCACCCGTTGCATGCTTCTGAAAGCATATATCTGGAATGCACCTGGAAGTAACAAACTAAACACATTCTGGGTGTACTCTTTTTTAATACACCTGGAAGCAACATACTAAACACATTCTGGGTGTATTTTTTTTAATGCACCTAGAAGCATTCAAAAATCAAATATCTGGAAGTTTTCCCCAGGAATACATAAGACTGGATTTCAATTTCATATTTTTATTTATTTATTTTTATTCAGAGTCAGAATCGTACGGTTCGGCTCCTGGCTCCGGGTGGGCCTTCTTTAATGCGCTTTTCCCCTTATATATTTTATTTTTTTGGCGCATAAAGGCCAACCGGACGTCTTTTATATATTCCAATAAGGAATATCCTTCCCGTTTTTGTGATTCTGCAAAGATAAAAACACATTTAAAATTATTAGCTTTGGTTAATATTTATAATATAATATATTGCTTCTAATATTGGCTACTGTTTATTACAAAGTAAACGTCACCAAGTTTTTAATCATAAAAATGGACGTATGTACCTTGCAGGACTGAATTTAAGTTGTGGAAATTGGCGAGTCCATATTTATGTTTGGACCCACTGTAGTTTAGTTGTAAAATCACATCCGGGCTTAAAATTTGGTCCAAGTTTTTAATTAAGTTGTAACTCCAAAATGGATTTAAGGAGCGGTACCTGAAATAAAAATATAAAAATTACTAGAAAATATGAATAACAACTTACATTAAGATTAGGAAATAATACAAAATTATATATTTCTTAAATCCAAAGTAAACAACGCAATGTAGGAGAAGATTCCAGCCCCATAAAATTATCTTCTCCTACATTGCGTTGTATACTTTGGATTTAAGAAATATAATTTTGTATTATTTCCGAATCTTAATGTAAGTTGTTATTGCTGTTAAAGTCTGTCCGTGAACGCTTCGATTTTGGAAACTTACGTATTTTTCCATTTTCCCGTAAATCTTTTCGTCCACCTCCTTTAAATGGTTTAGCGACCGGATGGGGAAGTCGGCCTTTAGAATTGGCTCTACTGGTGCCATTTTCCTCCAGAGAGCCAACATTTGCGCCGTGGATTCGAGAATGGCCGAGTTCACGGCCTTCAAAATCGTTTTCTTAATATTTATACCCGTTACTCGTAGAGTAAAAGGGTATACTAGATTCGTCGGAAAGTATGTAACAGGCAGAAGGAAGCGTTTCCGACCCCACAAAGTATATATATTCTTGATCAGGATCACTAGCCGAGTCGATCTAGCCATGTCCGTCTGTCCGTCTGTCCGTCTGTCCGTATGAACGCTGAGATCTCGGAAACTATGAGAGTTACAATACTGGGATTAGGCACGCAGATTCCTGAGATTCCTGCGCAGCGCAAGTTTGTTTCAGCACAGTGCCACGCCCACTCTAACGCCCAAAACTGTGGCTCCTACAGTTTTGATGCTAGAATAAAAATTTTAACTGAAATGTATTGTTCTCATCAATACCTATCGATTGACCCAAAAAAAAGTTTGCCACGCCCACTTTAACGCCCACAAACCGCGAAAACCTGTGACGCCCACAATTTTCATGCTAGATAAAAAATTTTAACTGAAATGTATTGGTCTCGTCGATACCTATCGATTGATCCAAAAAAAAATTTGCCACGCCCACTCTAACGCCCATAACGCTTAAATCTGTATACCGCCGGTAGGTGGCGCATTTTAATCTCGCTTTGCTGCTTGCATATCTCCATATAGCTGAGTAACGGGTATCTGATAGTCGAGGTACTCGACTATAGCGTTCTTCCTTGTTTTACATTAGCCACGATGCTATTCAATATGCTTGTGTTTAGCTGTACAATTTTCATAAAGCGTGGCTAATGTAAAAATATTAAGAAAACGTATTTATTATGTAGATCGTATAATACTTTTTTGTCACAAAAGTGGATATATGAACTTTTGTTTGCTGTAGAAGAAATCGTCACTATATTTTAACCTCGTTAAGAGATGTTTTTGCTTGATATTATAATTTCACTTTACACATTTTTGTCGGCCTTAGAGTGTGAGTAGCTAATTTGGAAAACAATTTTTCGATAAACCGAAAGCTGAGGAACCTTAATATGAGTACTCAATGTTCTAGTTTTTATAGTGTCCGAGATCACAGCGTTCAAACAGACAAACGGAGATGGGTAGATTCACTCGCATAGTGATCCTGATCAAGAAAGTATATAATTTACTGAATACTGCATTTATAATTGTATTACATTATACAGCAACACTCAGCAAGCGTGTAATAGACTATGTACTCTTTAAAACGATAGAAAATGAAAACAAACATCGATATATTTGAATTTGTTTTTGAATTCAATTCGAAACAGCTCAAACAAATCAAATAAGAAAAACTGTTGCCCATAATTTTTAACAATGGTATCTAGACAAATCATGCTAAGCAGTATAATGAAACACCTTTCCAACGACATATACCACAATCTTGTAGCTAGTTACGACAAACAAAATCGAGTTTTTCCAAAAAGGTAGAACTAAAGTTCCATTTATTAAGCTGTTTAACATCATCAACCATTTCCAAAACCCTAAAACAACGTTTTGGCAAACAAAAAAAATTTTAATTTTCAAAAAAAAATTTCCCCCAACACCTCCAAATTTCCTAAATTCTAAATCCAATTAACTTTCTGATAGTTTTGGCGTGCAATCCTTTACATTTTTGTTATACCTTTCGATCAGTGTATAGCTCGTTAGGATATCCTTCAATAGATCTGCTGAACTGGAGCGTAAAAATAGTACGCTACCTTTTCGTGATACATGATACATTGTTGTTGACGTGTATCGATGAGTGAAATATCGATAAGAATTAACATAATTATTATTTAAAGGCCATGAAGTAAGTTAAATTCTTTAAAACAGTTCTGTCCTTTTTGATTTTTACCTGTCTACGATTGATGTGCGCAGTGCTACTGTTGCGGTGGCAACCGATATCGTTCTAACAAACGCCATATTAATCGAAAAACAGTTGTTTACAAAGTGATTGTCCCTTACATGTCCCTTACAGTAGGACCAATTTAAGAAGACATTTGAAGTGCATAGTGGAGTTTTTTAGGTAAAATGTTTAACTTTTTCGGCGTCGTAATGTATCACGAGCGTTTAGCAGAACAAACTTGATCACTGCTTACTGATGGAGCAGTATTCAGTTATCATGTTGTTCTTCTGAACGCGGCTATTGTTTTTGTCCGCCGTCGTAAAAAAATACAAGAAATACCCGTTACTAATCTAAAGGGAGCAAAAGGGGATGGAGATGTACAAGTAGCAAGGCGAGCCACCTACTCGCGATCTTAATATATGGCTATGTGGGCGGCAGACATATTTAAGCGTAATGGGCGTTTGTAAGCGTTAGAGGGAGCGTGGCAAACTAATACAGACTAATACATTTCAGTAAAAATTTTGTTCTAGCATGAAAACTGTGGGCACCGCAGTCTTGGTTCGCGTAAAAAACTTTTTTTTCTATCATCAAAACTGTGAGCGCCACATTTTTGGGCGTCAAAGTGGGCGTGGCAACATTTTTTTTTAAGTCAATCGATAGGTATTGACGGAACGAATTTAGATTAGCTTACATTTTTTTGTAGCACTAAAACTGTAGGACCCACAGTTTTGGTCGGCTTGTGGGCATAACAAACTTGCACAGCATACGAAGCTAAGGAATCTAAATCTGAATTACCAATTCAATGTCTTTAATAGTTTCCGAGATATCAACTTTCACATATCCGATTTATTTGAGTTTGTGGGCAGCTTTTGGGCGTCAGAGTGGGCGAAGCACATTGGCATACTAAACTTGCGCTGCGTACGAAGATATGGAACCTACCCAGTCGTAAATGACAGCATTCCAGCATGCGTTCTTTCATTATGAAATGGCATCAAAAAGGTGTTCCGGAAGTGATGAGTCTGTCCATTCTTTTTACACGGGTGCGGGACAAAAAAGAATGCACCCGTTGCATGCTTCTGAAAGCATATATCTGGAATGCACCTGGAAGTAACAAACTAAACACATTCTGGGTGTACTCTTTTTTAATACACCTGGAAGCAACATACTAAACACATTCTGGGTGTATTTTTTTTAATGCACCTAGAAGCATTCAAAAATCAAATATCTGGAAGTTTTCCCCAGGAATACATAAGACTGGATTTCAATTTCATATTTTTATTTATTTATTTTTATTCAGAGTCAGAATCGTACGGTTCGGCTCCTGGCTCCGGGTGGGCCTTCTTTAATGCGCTTTTCCCCTTATATATTTTATTTTTTTGGCGCATAAAGGCCAACCGGACGTCTTTTATATATTCCAATAAGGAATATCCTTCCCGTTTTTGTGATTCTGCAAAGATAAAAACACATTTAAAATTATTAGCTTTGGTTAATATTTATAATATAATATATTGCTTCTGATATTGGCTACTGTTTATTACAAAGTAAACGTCACCAAGTTTTTAATCATAAAAATGGACGTATGTACCTTGCAGGACTGAATTTAAGTTGTGGAAATTGGCGAGTCCATATTTATGTTTGGACCCACTGTAGTTTAGTTGTAAAATCACATCCGGGCTTAAAATTTGGTCCAAGTTTTTAATTAAGTTGTAACTCCAAAATGGATTTAAGGAGCGGTACCTGAAATAAAAATATAAAAATTACTAGAAAATATGAATAACAACTTACATTAAGATTAGGAAATAATACAAAATTATATATTTCTTAAATCCAAAGTAAACAACGCAATGTAGGAGAAGATTCCAGCCCCATAAAATTATCTTCTCCTACATTGCGTTGTATACTTTGGATTTAAGAAATATAATTTTGTATTATTTCCGAATCTTAATGTAAGTTGTTATTGCTGTTAAAGTCTGTCCGTGAACGCTTCGATTTTGGAAACTTACGTAATTTTCCATTTTCCCGTAAATCTTTTCGTCCACCTCCTTTAAATGGTTTAGCGACCGGATGGGGAAGTCGGCCTTTAGAATTGGCTCTACTGGTGCCATTTTCCTCCAGAGAGCCAACATTTGCGCCGTGGATTCGAGAATGGCCGAGTTCACGGCCTTCAAAATCGTTTTCTTAATATTTATACCCGTTACTCGTAGAGTAAAAGGGTATACTAGATTCGTCGGAAAGTATGTAACAGGCAGAAGGAAGCGTTTCCGACCCCACAAAGTATATATATTCTTGATCAGGATCACTAGCCGAGTCGATCTAGCCATGTCCGTCTGTCCGTCTGTCCGTCTGTCCGTATGAACGCTGAGATCTCGGAAACTATGAGAGTTACAATACTGGGATTAGGCACGCAGATTCCTGAGATTCCTGCGCAGCGCAAGTTTGTTTCAGCACAGTGCCACGCCCACTCTAACGCCCAAAACTGTGGCTCCTACAGTTTTGATGCTAGAATAAAAATTTTAACTGAAATGTATTGTTCTCATCAATACCTATCGATTGACCCAAAAAAAAGTTTGCCACGCCCACTTTAACGCCCACAAACCGCGAAAACCTGTGACGCCCACAATTTTCATGCTAGATAAAAAATTTTAACTGAAATGTATTGGTCTCGTCGATACCTATCGATTGATCCAAAAAAAAATTTGCCACGCCCACTCTAACGCCCATAACGCTTAAATCTGTATACCGCCGGTAGGTGGCGCATTTTAATCTCGCTTTGCTGCTTGCATATCTCCATATAGCTGAGTAACGGGTATCTGATAGTCGAGGTACTCGACTATAGCGTTCTTCCTTGTTTTACATTAGCCACGATGCTATTCAATATGCTTGTGTTTAGCTGTACAATTTTCATAAAGCGTGGCTAATGTAAAAATATTAAGAAAACGTATTTATTATGTAGATCGTATAATACTTTTTTGTCACAAAAGTGGATATATGAACTTTTGTTTGCTGTAGAAGAAATCGTCACTATATTTTAACCTCGTTAAGAGATGTTTTTGCTTGATATTATAATTTCACTTTACACATTTTTGTCGGCCTTAGAGTGTGAGTAGCTAATTTGGAAAACAATTTTTCGATAAACCGAAAGCTGAGGAACCTTAATATGAGTACTCAATGTTCTAGTTTTTATAGTGTCCGAGATCACAGCGTTCAAACAGACAAACGGAGATGGGTAGATTCACTCGCATAGTGATCCTGATCAAGAAAGTATATAATTTACTGAATACTGCATTTATAATTGTATTACATTATACAGCAACACTCAGCAAGCGTGTAATAGACTATGTACTCTTTAAAACGATAGAAAATGAAAACAAACATCGATATATTTGAATTTGTTTTTGAATTCAATTCGAAACAGCTCAAACAAATCAAATAAGAAAAACTGTTGCCCATAATTTTTAACAATGGTATCTAGACAAATCATGCTAAGCAGTATAATGAAACACCTTTCCAACGACATATACCACAATCTTGTAGCTAGTTACGACAAACAAAATCGAGTTTTTCCAAAAAGGTAGAACTAAAGTTCCATTTATTAAGCTGTTTAACATCATCAACCATTTCCAAAACCCTAAAACAACGTTTTGGCAAACAAAAAAAATTTTAATTTTCAAAAAAAAATTTCCCCCAACACCTCCAAATTTCCTAAATTCTAAATCCAATTAACTTTCTGATAGTTTTGGCGTGCAATCCTTTACATTTTTGTTATACCTTTCGATCAGTGTATAGCTCGTTAGGATATCCTTCAATAGATCTGCTGAACTGGAGCGTAAAAATAGTACGCTACCTTTTCGTTATACATGATACATTGTTGTTGACGTGTATCGATGAGTGAAATATCGATAAGAATTAACATAATTATTATTTAAAGGTCATGAAGTAAGTTAAATTCTTTAAAACAGTTCTGTCCTTTTTGATTTTTACCTGTCTACGATTGATGTGCGCAGTGCTACTGTTGCGGTGGCAACCGATATCGTTCTAACAAACGCCATATTAATCGAAAAACAGTTGTTTACAAAGTGATTGTCCCTTACATGTCCCTTACAGTAGGACCAATTTAAGAAGACATTTGAAGTGCATAGTGGAGTTTTTTAGGTAAAATGTTTAACTTTTTCGGCGTCGTAATGTATCACGAGCGTTTAGCAGAACAAACTTGATCACTGCTTACTGATGGAGCAGTATTCAGTTATCATGTTGTTCTTCTGAACGCGGCTATTGTTTTTGTCCGCCGTCGTAAAAAAATACAAGAAATACCCGTTACTAATCTAAAGGGAGCAAAAGGGGATGGAGATGTACAAGTAGCAAGGCGAGCCACCTACTCGCGATCTTAATATATGGCTATGTGGGCGGCAGACATATTTAAGCGTAATGGGCGTTTGTAAGCGTTAGAGGGAGCGTGGCAAACTAATACAGACTAATACATTTCAGTAAAAATTTTGTTCTAGCATGAAAACTGTGGGCACCGCAGTCTTGGTTCGCGTAAAAAACTTTTTTTTCTATCATCAAAACTGTGAGCGCCACATTTTTGGGCGTCAAAGTGGGCGTGGCAACATTTTTTTTTAAGTCAATCGATAGGTATTGACGGAACGAATTTAGATTAGCTTACATTTTTTTGTAGCACTAAAACTGTAGGACCCACAGTTTTGGTCGGCTTGTGGGCATAACAAACTTGCACAGCATATGAAGCTAAGGAATCTAAATCTGAATTACCAATTCAATGTCTTTAATAGTTTCCGAGATATCAACTTTCACATATCCGATTTATTTGAGTTTGTGGGCAGCTTTTGGGCGTCAAAGTGGGCGAAGCACATTGGCATACTAAACTTGCGCTGCGTACGAAGATATGGAACCTACCCAGTCGTAAATGACAGCATTCCAGCATGCGTTCTTTCATTATGAAATGGCATCAAAAAGGTGTTCCGGAAGTGATGAGTCTGTCCATTCTTTTTACACGGGTGCGGGACAAAAAAGAATGCACCCGTTGCATGCTTCTGAAAGCATATATCTGGAATGCACCTGGAAGTAACAAACTAAACACATTCTGGGTGTACTCTTTTTTAATACACCTGGAAGCAACATACTAAACACATTCTGGGTGTATTTTTTTTAATGCACCTAGAAGCATTCAAAAATCAAATATCTGGAAGTTTTCCCCAGGAATACATAAGACTGGATTTCAATTTCATATTTTTATTTATTTATTTTTATTCAGAGTCAGAATCGTACGGTTCGGCTCCTGGCTCCGGGTGGGCCTTCTTTAATGCGCTTTTCCCCTTATATATTTTATTTTTTTGGCGCATAAAGGCCAACCGGACGTCTTTTATATATTCCAATAAGGAATATCCTTCCCGTTTTTGTGATTCTGCAAAGATAAAAACACATTTAAAATTATTAGCTTTGGTTAATATTTATAATATAATATATTGCTTCTAATATTGGCTACTGTTTATTACAAAGTAAACGTCACCAAGTTTTTAATCATAAAAATGGACGTATGTACCTTGCAGGACTGAATTTAAGTTGTGGAAATTGGCGAGTCCATATTTATGTTTGGACCCACTGTAGTTTAGTTGTAAAATCACATCCGGGCTTAAAATTTGGTCCAAGTTTTTAATTAAGTTGTAACTCCAAAATGGATTTAAGGAGCGGTACCTGAAATAAAAATATAAAAATTACTAGAAAATATGAATAACAACTTACATTAAGATTAGGAAATAATACAAAATTATATATTTCTTAAATCCAAAGTAAACAACGCAATGTAGGAGAAGATTCCAGCCCCATAAAATTATCTTCTCCTACATTGCGTTGTATACTTTGGATTTAAGAAATATAATTTTGTATTATTTCCGAATCTTAATGTAAGTTGTTATTGCTGTTAAAGTCTGTCCGTGAACGCTTCGATTTTGGAAACTTACGTATTTTTCCATTTTCCCGTAAATCTTTTCGTCCACCTCCTTTAAATGGTTTAGCGACCGGATGGGGAAGTCGGCCTTTAGAATTGGCTCTACTGGTGCCATTTTCCTCCAGAGAGCCAACATTTGCGCCGTGGATTCGAGAATGGCCGAGTTCACGGCCTTCAAAATCGTTTTCTTAATATTTATACCCGTTACTCGTAGAGTAAAAGGGTATACTAGATTCGTCGGAAAGTATGTAACAGGCAGAAGGAAGCGTTTCCGACCCCACAAAGTATATATATTCTTGATCAGGATCACTAGCCGAGTCGATCTAGCCATGTCCGTCTGTCCGTCTGTCCGTATGAACGCTGAGATCTCGGAAACTATGAGAGTTACAATACTGGGATTAGGCACGCAGATTCCTGAGATTCCTGCGCAGCGCAAGTTTGTTTCAGCACAGTGCCACGCCCACTCTAACGCCCAAAACTGTGGCTCCTACAGTTTTGATGCTAGAATAAAAATTTTAACTGAAATGTATTGTTCTCATCAATACCTATCGATTGACCCAAAAAAAAGTTTGCCACGCCCACTTTAACGCCCACAAACCGCGAAAACCTGTGACGCCCACAATTTTCATGCTAGATAAAAAATTTTAACTGAAATGTATTGGTCTCGTCGATACCTATCGATTGATCCAAAAAAAAATTTGCCACGCCCACTCTAACGCCCATAACGCTTAAATCTGTATACCGCCGGTAGGTGGCGCATTTTAATCTCGCTTTGCTGCTTGCATATCTCCATATAGCTGAGTAACGGGTATCTGATAGTCGAGGTACTCGACTATAGCGTTCTTCCTTGTTTTACATTAGCCACGATGCTATTCAATATGCTTGTGTTTAGCTGTACAATTTTCATAAAGCGTGGCTAATGTAAAAATATTAAGAAAACGTATTTATTATGTAGATCGTATAATACTTTTTTGTCACAAAAGTGGATATATGAACTTTTGTTTGCTGTAGAAGAAATCGTCACTATATTTTAACCTCGTTAAGAGATGTTTTTGCTTGATATTATAATTTCACTTTACACATTTTTGTCGGCCTTAGAGTGTGAGTAGCTAATTTGGAAAACAATTTTTCGATAAACCGAAAGCTGAGGAACCTTAATATGAGTACTCAATGTTCTTGTTTTTATAGTGTCCGAGATCACAGCGTTCAAACAGACAAACGGAGATGGGTAGATTCACTCGCATAGTGATCCTGATCAAGAAAGTATATAATTTACTGAATACTGCATTTATAATTGTATTACATTATACAGCAACACTCAGCAAGCGTGTAATAGACTATGTACTCTTTAAAACGATAGAAAATGAAAACAAATATCGATATATTTGAATTTGTTTTTTCAGTGTACACTAGTCGGCATAAGTATTAGGACGAAACAAAAGTTAAATATACCCACAATTTGAACTTACTTCTTGTTAACTTTGGCATCAATAGAAAGGTAAATGCCGTTTAAATGATGCAATATTTTTCTTAACCTATTCAGTATTTATTGAAAAGGTCGAACTTGTGTAAATCAACTTTTAAATTTTTTTTTTAACTTTTTTCCTCGACTTGAAAACTTAAATTTTTTGATGCAAAAAGTTTCTTCAAACAAAAATAATAGTAACTGCAAGAAGAATTTTTCAAAAATCATTTTGCTTATATTTTTTTTGATTTTTTAAAGGTGACAATGTCGAAAAATATTTGTATGAAGAAGAGAAAAATATGGCTCAATTGCATGTTTCTAAGCATTTTCAAAAAATCATTAAAAATATAAGCAAAATGATTTTTGAAAAATTCTTCTTGCAGTTACTATTATTTTTGTTTGAAGAAACTTTTTGCATCAAAAAATTTAAGTTTTCAAGTCGAGGAAAAAAGTTCAAATAGTAGATTTTCACACAAATTCGTCGTTTTCAATAAGTACTGAATGGATTAAGAAATGTATTGTATCATTCAAACGGCATTTAAATTACCTTTCTATTGAAAGAACAAGAAGTAAGTTTTTTTTGTTATTATATTTTTGTTTTGTAAAAATACTTTTGACCACCCTTGACAGTACCTGCTTTTATTAAATAAAGTGAAAATTAATAAAATAAGAATCACTCATATACATATTTATAACATTTTTAAATATCTAAAAAGATATCATTTTTTTGTAATTAAAAAAAAAAAAACATTTTTGTTAAATTTTGTTGCCAAAAAAATGTAAAGTTTTTTAACATGTATTAATCATGCCCACGTTTGTCACCTTCAACCGCTTTTTTTATAAGTTGGATACATTTTTTGCTTTACAATATTGAATTGTTGATTTATTGATTTTGTATAAAAGAAATTAAGTCAATCGGATAATTAAAGCTGGAGATATATATTGCTAAAAGCGGGTACTTATAAAAAATTGTCGTTTTTTTCGGCAAAATCGTGATACACGTGTTTACTTATTTACCGAATAATATAGGCAAATCTTTGTTTATTTATTTTCGAACAAACATTAGTAAAACTTTGATATATTTATAAAATAATAAAATTGTAAAATTGCACATATTTATGTATTTTAATTTTATTTTCGCACTAATTTGATGTATGTACATATGTGTGTACATATTTATGTACATTGTAAATTGCAGCTTGCACATGTTTATGTACATATGCTAATTTGATGTATGATGTCTGCACATATGTACATATGTACATTGTAAATTGCAGCTTGCACATGTTTATATATGTTAATTGTATTTCCTCACAACTTATTTATTATTTATTGAAATTAATTTGGTATTTATTGCATTTATGCTTAATATTTTTTTTAACTTTGCACTTATATATACATATGTATATGTATGTATGTAATTGCATTCTAAATACATAAGTATGTGCAATCACATTTAAGTTTTTAGTAAATTTGTTTAATTTCTCACTTCACTAACTACACTTTACTTACCTGGGAAAAGAATAATTTAAGGTTGGTTGGTAAAAAATTTGATAATTTTGTAATAACACTTGTGGCTGAACTTTACTCTTTCAAATGAAATCTGGAAGTGGCGAGAAATGCAAGAGGCGACAAAAACCGCGCGCTTCCTTGCATGTTCCCTTTTGTCTCTTTCGTTTGCTTTTCAAGAGTACCGTTTGTTTGGCCTATGCTTGCTTCTATTACAGTGGCGGGAAAAAATCTAGCATCGAGGCTACGTACAGTAAACATATTATAATATATAACAGCAAACTTTACATTATTGTAGCAATTTTTGTTGTATATGTAATTACGTAAATAAATTTTATTTTACGAAACTAGAGGTGCTAAGAATTCTTGACAGTTTCATATGTGTACAGAAAACATACATTCGGTTTTACCGAAAAAGACGATTGTAAAAAAATGGGCATCGGCAACCTTCGGGTTTGAGTTTGGTTTTTTACATTCCCACTAAAATACACCTGGATGCACTATATTGAAATACACCCAGATGGCACCCAAAAGACTGCCCCCAGCAGTCAGCGTAAAAAAGATACGACACAGAACTATTTCTTTCGGAATACGTTCCCGAAACGGGTGTTTGGGCATGCTTCTGGATGCATTATTCGAAACACTTCTAGAAGGCACCGCAATAGAATGCACCCAGCACGCACATTTGCCTTGGAAAATTTGCATACGTGCTGTTTTGCGTAAAAAAGGTACGACCCAGAACTTTGTTTTTTTAAAACACGTTCCGCAACTTACGACTGGGTAAATCTGAAATCTCAACTCTTAAGCTTTTTTACTTCCCGAGATCACGGCGTTCGGCATGAATATATATACTTTAGGGGGTCGGTTACGCTTCCTTCTACCAGTTACATACTTTTCCCCGTGTTGGGGCGGTGCGGCTTGATCGATGAAATAATTGAAGCCCCAAGATCGAGTGGTACGCATAAAAATACGCGGGTACTTTTGAGTTTTTACGCGACGTGCGTAGGTGTTTATTAGTACACTTTGAAACATGAACTGCTTAAGCCTAACTTAACTTAAGCGCTCCAGAGCAGAGCGGAGACTTAGGGGAGAGATGGAGAGGGAGAGCGGACGGCAGTGCGAGCGCGCGAGATGTAGACATCTGGATTAAACTGCCGCTCGACACTGCCTCCTGAAATTAAACGCCCTTTTGGCGTGAACATTCTCCCCCCCCTTGCGAGGACACCCGTAGCAAGAACCTCAGGATAGTAGGCTCAGGAATATGTTGGAAGTGTAGATCGGTCGTCCGTATGTAGGAGAGTGTGGTGGGCCTTTCCACACTTGTGGCAGTGATGACCACTGCGGCAGGAGTCCTTGGAATGATTGTGAGCCAAGCAATTGGAGCAGTACTTCCTGAAGCCGATTCTGGGGGCTTAGCCGTAGAAAGTGGTGGCACTTCCGTAGAGGATGGATCTTTTGGCAGACTCGGCATCGGTAGGATTTAATACCTCAAGTACGTCTGCCATCCAAGGCGGGGTATGGAACCCAATATTCGGATGGAGTATTCTTAGGAGGAACTTTTTGTACGGAAACTTGCGTTGAATAGGACGAAATGATGTGTGGAACTGAGGCGGATACTGGCCTTGGAGGATCGGATGGAATCGTCGGAGTAGTAGGACCGCTGTTTCGATGCAGCAATGTGTGATGCCGATCTTGGCAAGTGAGACAGTTGTGAGCGCTTGTGCAATCCCGGAATTGATGGCTACTTGCAAAGCAATTGGAGCACAACTGCTTCCTTTGGATATAGGTTAAGCGATCTTCTACCGTCATCTGTAGGAAGCGTGGACATATACGCACGGGGTGGTTCTTCTTCGAACACAGATCGCAGCCTTTGGTTATCGGAACTAACCTTGTGTTGAAGGAATTTATTTTTGGAAATTCTGCCTCTCGATTTGTGTCTTTGGACTGGACGTGGTGGAAATTGGCAGATCGGAAGCTATCGACAGCCTCAAGAGTTAGATGGCGCTCCGTCAAATATGAATCAAGCTCAAGTCACGTAGGAATTTCGGCTTTATTTTGGATGGATTGCTCCCATAATGAGAGAGTGAGCTTTGGTAGTTTTGTCGAGCACATATAAACCAGGATAGGGTCCCAATTCTCAATATTAACACCGGAAAATTTTAAGGAAGTTAAGCAACCTTGAAAAGTGCGTTGAAGTTCCTTTAAGGCTGCTCCCGACTCCTGCGCTATGGATTGCACATTGAAAAGTGTTTTCAGGTGACTGTTTACCTGCAATCGCTTATTTTCGAAACGCTCAGTTAGGTTATTCCAGGCTGAGCGAAAGCCATCATTGGTGAGTGGGGATCTTGAAACTATGGAATGAGGTTCGCCACTTGTTTTTGAATTTAAGTGGAATAATTTTTCAACGGGCGTTAGACTCGGATTGTCTATGTATATTGCCGTGAAAAGGTCCCGGAAAGTCGGCCAGCGAAGATAATTGCCAGAGAAAACCTCTGTGTCGATAGGAGGGAGCCGACAGCCATAAGACGTGAAATTTTGGGACGGAGTTACTGGAGCTTGAGGTATTTGGGAGGAGCCCTTTTGGATTTGTTCCATCAGCTGCGCGGCAAATATTTCGTAAGTGGAGTACGTTTGGTAATACTTGGACTTTAGTATGGATTTTGTGTCTGCGGCGCTCTCGCCTGCAGCTATAATGCAGTCGGAGCATATGTCGTATGCTGCCTTTACCGTTTGCCACAAGGAATTGAGGTGATCGCGACGGATTTTACAGGCGGATAACGTTGGTGTAGGAGCACCAGGAGCGTTCACAGTGGCCTCAAAGTGGATCAGACAGTCAGCTGTGGCCATAAATCGGGTTAAAGCGGATTTTACTGATGTTGCCATGACGTTAAATAATTTAGAATTTTAATTCTGATGTCAGGAAACGGATTGGAATCAAATTGGAATTTAGGAACCAATTAAGATTGTTAATATATACGGTCACACTGTCGGATAGGCAATAAATATTTATTATATCGGATGGTCGGACTTATGTAAGGAATTACGGACTTTAATATTGTTTGTTTGAAAGGAACACTTTTTGTGAGCTCTTGACCCACTGTGCACTGGCGATATACGTATGTATGTACACTGTACATATGTACATATGTGGGGTGCGAATAGCGGAATAACGTTGCGGGAATTGGAAAGACTTCGCTTATGTTTGTATGTCGGTGCGTTTGTTTGTCACCTGCACAACTAAATTGCAAACGATTTGCTGGAGTAAATTTGTGGATATTGTCACTTTGTTTTTAATTTTAGAAATAGTTTAGCCGTATTTGTAGGTCGAGAAAAGTAGTTGGAGTGGACTGTATTAGAAAAAAGTAGTTCGAGTGGACTGTATTAGATTGTTTTTTAAATATACACATGCAGCTGGAACACAGTAAAAAATAAAGAGTGCAAGTCTTAAGGAATAATTTTATGATCCGGATTTTTTTTACTGTGGCTGAGTTATATTTTACACACAATTGGAATTAAAAATATTTTTGAGAAATATTGTTGTTGAATAGTAGCACTGAAATATCTTCTGGAATTGTTTCAAGTGTACAATTGGGGGCAAAGGAAACTGGAATATTGTCGAGCACAAGTAACGGAATCGAAATACATATATCAAAGGCCGTTGCGTCGGATTAATCACTTTTGGACTTAGACAATATATCATACAGAAAGTTAGTCGAAATAGGGTTCGAAAAACTGGCGTATGACCGGCAATTATAGTAAGTGGAACTTATCTGGAGTGTTTCAAGCCTGCTAGGACAAAATCAAAGGAAACTTCAGGAGAGGAAAGTCCAAAGATTTTGAAATCCGGTTTCGACTGGACCAAAATATTGGGGCGGTGCGGCTTGATCGATGAAATAATTGAAGCCCCAAGATCGAGTGGTACGCATAAAAATACGCGGGTACTTTTGGGTTTTTACGCGACGTGCGTAGGTGTTTATTAGTACACTTTGAAACATGAACTACTTAAGCCTAACTTAACTTAAGCGCTCCAGAGCAGAGCGGAGACTTAGGGGAGAGATGGAGAGAGAGAGCGGACGGCAGTGCGAGCGCGCGAGATGTAGACATCTGGGTAAAACTGCCGCTCGACACTGCCTCCTGAAATTAAACGCCCTTTTGGCGTGAACACCCCGAATGCAATTTACCCTTTAACTTTACGAGTAACGGGTATTAAATAAGTTTACAAAAATCGTATAAAAAAACTGTAGCCCATACTTTTTAAACAATTGTAGTTAGACAAATTGCGATACAAGAAACAAACGGAGCCAACTATCTCCAACGGTCTTAACAGCTCCAAATGTTGTACATTTTCTTTTTTATACTCACTGCTCTTTCTCCCAATCCACTTAATTTCGTATTTCTTCCTCTCAGTGAAATCGCACAATAATGGGCAAAATCTTGGATTAGGTGTCCTATTTTGTCTGCACTGACCTTCTGCACACGATTTTAGGGTTTTCTTTCCATTTTTATACCCGTTACTCGTAGAGTAAAAGGGTATACTAGATTCGTCGGAAAGTATGTAACAGGCAGAAGGAAGCGTTTCCGACCCCATAAAGTATATATTGTTATGTCCCAAAATAGGACTACGTGTGTCCGCGAGTGGGCAGCGCCGGCTAGCTCTAGAGCACTTGGGGTGTGGGTACTCCAACCCTGCCCACACACACGCAACAATAAACAAACAGATGTTTGTACTTCCCAACACTTCACGCTGCAACAGCTGTCTTATGACTGGACCGAAAACATTGACGAAATATACGAAACTATAAAACTAACACAACACGTGATTATCACAAAACTAATTCCCCGACTTGTCCCTTTTCAGGTCACAGGACGCCATCAGATATATTGTGGGCTTTTGGGGGCAAACCCAAAGCCTCCGCGCTCCCACCCAACCGTAGCAGCCGTAGGTGACTCCGACTGCCCATTGGACCGGTCACCGTGAGATATCTTGGAACCGTTTACATGTTCCCTCCCCTCTGAAAGATATTCTACTCCATATTCATTATAGTATCATTTATTTACTTAAATTATTTACAGGGCTTCAGCTTCCCGTAAGGAAACCCATCAACCACCGCCCGCCGGGTGCGACAGTCACCAAAGGGATTTACGTAGACTGGTCTGTTCTCTTTATTTCGGTCCCTACCTAAAAGAGCTCTCTTAAGGGGATCCCAGACCCGATTATAACCTATTCGACGCGGTCGCTGGAGAGGATTCCCCGTGGGATTAACAAGTACTTGGCTTTGACGGTTTAAATGTCAAGCCTCGCCCAGAAGGAGCGATAAGTGGCAAATAACTAAATAAACAAATGTGAAAAAAAAACACTCGCCTTGAATTGTTCACATCCGGCAATAAACATTTTAAAATTGGTGATTTAATAAATAAATAATAGTGCAATATGGGTGAATCTATGTGCAATATATATAGGTTAATTTTTAAGTGTTATATAAGATCCCCTCCCCCAACAAATTTAATGCGAAATGAATATAAATAATTAAATAAAAAAAATAACTAAATAAACTAAGGGACAACACAATATAAAGCTAAAAAGACTATTTCGCAGTAAGCCGCCGATCTTTTCCAGGTCCGGTTGGTGATGTAATTCCACGTGCCGTGACGCGCAATCGAATCCTCCACCGAATTCTGGGGAGGATTATGCCCCCTCCTGGAGTAAATTCTCCACGCGCGCGGAGGATTTCTCGCAGGCACGACAGGTTCCTCCAGGTAGCTAGCGCTGGAGGCAGCGGGCTCGCCGATGACGTAATCTCCGGCCGAGAACCGGGGTTACTCCAAGAAAAACTTGGCCAGGCCCTAATTAATGGAACCTGGCCACTACCTTCCACGTCTCTTCTCGCTGGCCTGAAATGGGATTCCTATTGGAATTTTCTTTTTCCCCCCACTAACTGGAACGCACTCACCGTAGGGTCTTGACCAGTCCGGCTTCAGAGACCGTTCTCCAGCGTCGGCGACCGGCGAAAACTTTGCACGAGCGGGCTCACTCCTTTTTATTTATCGGTACTGACTGCGTTCGAAATTTTGGCTGCACTTATCTAGGCGCTGATGGCCACTTGAACACCACGACCGCCTGAGGAGATAGTTAATTCACCGAACCCGCTGCGACTGCGCGCCGCCGACACCAAATCTGAACTGATCTAGTGTCGGCCATTTTCCTTCCGCCAACCTATGCAGATTACGGGCCTCGGTTCCCTGCACTCTGGGTCAATGTTCCTATAACCTCCATTTGTCCGGTTTGAATTTGAATTCGCCCCCGAACTGACTCCAATTTTCACGTTGCCCATCACTGGAAACCCCAAAACCTCTTTGCATCTTTGCATGGTTTTCTCGATTACTCGATTAGTGAGGGATGGCGATGCTTGTTTCTCCGAAACGCTAGTAAAATATAGAAGACATCCCTCCTATGGACATCTTCCAGACATCTGTAAATCCGGAACTACCCTGAAAACACGGAGGATCATTTTGGGACATCAGGACAAGGCCCAACGAGGGATCACACCCACACATACTACCGAACAGATTGTTGCGATGTCTTCTTCTTCCCCAGCTGGACATCGGATTGTATTTGTTTTGGTTTTTTTGGGTGGTAATGGACTTGGAATCTCGTCGCGGGAGCCAGGTGAGTACATAATCGCAGCAAACTCTTCACACCAACACCTTTTCTTCCAGTGCTCGTCGTGGGTCGCTTGTAGGTCCGTTCTTACTGCTTCAAATCCTTCGCGTGATATATTCCACTAGGTTTCCCTTGCAATGTCTCGGTCTCATACATGTTGTTCCCTATCCTTGACTTGATTCGACACTTAACAAATTTCTTCGCGAATTTGGCATTATAGTTCTGGCCGAAATTACTCAAAGTAAAATTCTTCCGGTATACTTCCTGTCCGACTGCGAGTCGTACATTTCGTGACCTCCGGTTGTACACAGCTGCGCTTCTTTCGTATGCCTTGTTTGAATTCTTCCGGATTTCTTCGCGCATCAGGACGATCTTAGATTCTCTTGGCAGGACATACAGTTCGTTGTCTTCTAATGCCTTCAAACGTCTCGCTAGTTGGTAATCTGCCCCGTTGGTGAACATATTTTGCCCAAACAGAGCGAAATATGGAGATACTCCAGTAGCCTGATGAACCGCTCCTCTGAGCGCACACTCAATCTCCGACAGAATCGCATTTAGAACAGACTGGTTGACTCTTTCCGCCGCATTTGACTGGGGTGAGTAAACAGCGGTCCGAATGTGCTTAACTCCATATTCCTTCAGAAATTCCGTGAACTGCTTGGAAACAAATTGTTTCCCGTTATCGGAATGTAACAATTCCGGAACCCCAAACTTGTTAAACACCTCCTGCCTTAAAAATCGAATTACTCCCGCAGAGGTTGCTTCCCGCATGCCTTTAAGGAGTGTGAACTTCGAGAAATGATCAACTACTATGAACACATATGAATTCCCTCCTCGAGACCTCGGATACTTTCCCAGAAAATCGATGTATATTTTCTGGAATGGCCTAAGTGTAACCACTTCCGCACCAATATCGGGTTTAGGGCCGCAATTCGTTGGCTTGGTTTCTTTGCATACTGTACAATCCCTAACATAAGCTCGGACCTGGCTCACCATCCCCGGCCAGTGAAATCTCTGACGCAGCCAACTCAATGTTTTCGCCATTCCACCATGAGCTCTATTTTTCGGGCTATGCGCTTGCTCTATCAGAGTGCGTGTGAGGCTAGCAGGTATCCACAGTTTCCAGGAGTATTCCCCTAATTCGGGTTTATTATCATCTCGTTTAGACCGCAGAAACACATAATCTCCATCCACAACGAGATCTGGGAAACGTTCTTCATGTGCCAATACCTCCTTCCTAAACTCAGCGTACTCTGGAGACTCGAATTCTGTCGTCTCGAACCCCAGCAAGGGTTCTAAGTCAATTGACTCTATCATCCTGGAAAGAGTGTCAGCCACTACATTTTCTGAGCCCTTCCTATGTTCTATAACAAAGTCATGGATCTGCAACTTTAACGACCAACGAGCGAGCCGCCCATCCAGGTCCTTTAATGACATCAGCCACTTCAGGCTGGCGTGGTCTGTTATAATAGTAAAGGGCATCATTTCGACATACGGTCTGAATCGTTTCACTCCGAGGACGTCCGCCAGACATTCCTTTTCTGTGACGCTGTAGTTTTTTTGGCATTTGTTCAGCTTCTGTGAGAAGTATTCATTGGGTCTTTCGTTTCCCTGATCATCCAGCTGGAATAACACTGCCCCAACTCCCGTGTCGGACGCATCGCACTGTATGTAAAAACGCCGTGAGAAATCTGGATGGTTTAGCACGGGCGCCGTTAGGAGTGCAGTTTTCAGGGTTTCTATGGCTTGCTGAGCCGCGGGGGTTAGGTGGAATTTCCCACTCTTCTTCAAGGTATCTGTAAGAGGGGCGGAAATTTCTGCGAAATTATGGATGAACCTGCGGTACCATCCTGCTGTACCCAACAGACTACGAACCTCCCGCGGATTACGGGGATTACTTAGCTTTCGAATAGCTTCTACCTTCTTGGGATCTGTTCTCAATTCCCCTCCGCCAATTACGAAACCCAAATAGCGCAATTCTTTGAAGCAGAATTTTGATTTTTGTAACCCGATTGTGAGTCCGGCTGCCTTCAAACATTCTCCTACTTCTTTCAAAATGGATAGATGTGATTCAAAGTCTGGGGTTACTATCAGTAGATCGTCGAGATAAACAAAGACTTTCTCCCGTAGTTTGGATGGGATGACCTTATCCATCAACCGACACAGGCTTTGACCCGCGTTACAGAGCCCAAAGGGCATTACGACGAATTGGTACAAGGGCCTCCCAGGGACAGTAAATGCCGTGATCGGTCGACTCTCTTCCTCCAGCTCGATTTGCCAATAAGCATGTTTCAGGTCGACACTGCTGATAAATATGGTTGAGGCAATTCTGCTTAGGATTCCATCTATGTTTTGAAGCGGATACGCGTCCTTCTTTGTCACCTTGTTCACCCTGCGCGCGTCCAAACAAAGCCAATTTTTCCCAGGTTTCATGACCAACGTCACAGGATTGTTCCAAGCACTTTCACTTTTCTCGATGACGCCTAGTCGCAACATCTCATCCACTTCAGCATAGACCGCCGCCTGTTTTGCCGGAGACATCGGATAGTGCCTTGACTTCACTGGTACTGCTCCTTCTTCCAGTTCTATCCTGTGCTTTAGAAGCTTAGTTCGTCCCAATCCAACCTTTTCGTAAGAAAGAAACACTCCTCGGACTTCAGCGAGTCGGGATTCCTGGGACGCCGATAGTTGATGACGCTCGGGCTCGACAGTTGTAACTTCCTGCGACTCTACCAATTCCTCGACGCCACCTCCAAATAGTTCCGGAGCAATATTGAACTCCTTCCAAAAGTCTACCCCCAAATACAACTGTTGCTTTACATAGATACAGGACATAGATACAAACACTTGCTGGCCTCTCGTCCCCAGAAAACCACTCTCACAATGACCTTGCCTAATATCCGATCTTCGCCGTTCGCTGTCTTCACGTTTCCCCTGTATGGCAACCAATCCAATCCAAGTCGATCCACCAACTCCTGGCAGCCGGTACCTAGGACGCTAATAGTAGCTCCGGAATCCAGCAGTCCTTGGATCTCCTGATCTGCTATAGTCACTGTCGCGTAGGGCCTTGGATCGTCGTTAGTATACTTAAGGGATTCTATTTGTGATATCGTGCGCTGGACCTCCTGCCTTTCCATTTTCCTCTTTTTGTCATTCCCTCCAGTTGGTGGTCCTTAAAAATGCGTTCCCGAGCCTCCTTGTATCGACGCCATCTCTCCTCCAGTGGTTTAGCCAGTCTTCCTTGCCATTCCACCCTTGGTCCTGCGTTTACTTCGCACGACTCTGGGTCATTGGGGTTACACCGACCGGCTCCCGTCCGGAACGCAACTCCACTGGGTTTATTACGTTCCCCTTCGAGTTTCCCGGATTGCAGTTTGGGCATTTAGGCGTAAACGTGTCGGCTCGCCCGCATTTGAAACAGAAGTAGGACTTTTGCGGCGTTTCACATTGCTTGTAGACGTGCCCGGCTTGTTTGCAGTTCCAACATACCACGGCTTTCCGCTGGCTGGCAGATTGGATGGCCTCTACTAGTCCTCCCTCGTTTTCATGTTCGACTACTGTCCGGAAATTCTGGTCTGGAATGCTACTGTACTGGACTTCGTCTACCCTCTGCCCTCGAAATTCTAGTCGTCTGGGGGGTACCGCTCGTGGTGTCTGTCTGGCTCGTCCCACTTCCTCCGCGAAAGCTCTTTCGGCTTCTCGACATTCGTCTCTGAGATGCTCCAAGGTGTATGCCCGAATCGGAAACACGTACTGCTTCAAGGGCTCGCACAGATTACGCTTGACGGTCTTGATCATCCATTTTTCAGTAATTGGTAACCGCACCGCAGCCCTCAGTCTTCGCATTGCGTGGAAGAAAGAATCCAGGGACTCTCCTGGCATTTGCCTCCGCTCACTCAGGTCCTGGATCCTCTCATAGTCGCATCTAGTGTCGCTATACCGACGCTCAATAGCCGTCCGCAATTCCATCCAGGTTGCTATGTTGTTAGTACGGACTAGCAGCCAATACCATTCCGCCGCACCATCGACCACCAAGCGGTGAAAGTTCCGGATAAAATCCGCCCAAGGCGTGCCATAATGCTGCCTTAAGTGCTCGACTCGGAATATAAATTCTTCCGCACTCATCCCATCGGAGTTGCCAGAGAACTGTATCCCCCATTTGTGCACTGGGACACAGTGTCCTCGTTGAGAATACCCGTAGACTTCCTGATTCCGCCGAAGAGCCCCTTGACGCCCTTCCGTGTCTCTTGGTTGATGGCTTCCACTGGAAGAGGAACCTGGTCGGAAGTGCATACCTTCCTGTTGAAGATTCTGCTGATAACTCGACAGACCGATTTTCTGACGTTGTCCAGTAGGGCCAGGATTTACTTCCGGGTCATTCCTGAATCGGTTTTATATTGTCGGCTGATTCCCAGGTTGACGACTTCCAAAATGACCGCCCGCAGGGAGTCCCTGAGACCTAGTTGATGGTTCTGACCCCCCCGATAGAGATGTCCTCCTTTCGACCTGCCTCATCAACTCAGCAAAGCCTTCTTTGATATTTTTGTCAATCTTGTCGCCGATAAACCGTTCCATTTCAGCTCGAAACTGGTTCTGGGATTCTACCACAAAGTTCCTCAAATCGCTACCATGGCCCTGGTTGTCGACTCCTTCGAGGCTATACTGTTCTTGGATCGGATCTAGCTGGATGTGTGAAAAAGTCGGTATTGGTGTGGAGTTGTCGCCATGCTCTAATCTTTTTGGGTTTCCCACCCGGTTTAGAGTGTGAAACGGCATTGGTTGCAGTGGGGGACAAGTGAATGATCCTGCCTTCCCTAAAGGGGTCGTAAGGTTCCCGCAATCTTCCATATTATTTCCATTCTTACCCATTTTAATTTGATTATTTATTTCTTCAAAAATTATTAGTTCGTAATTTTTCTTTCAGGAAACAGAAGGGGAAAGAACTACTATAAACTTTCCCATCCTACACTGTGAACTGATCTGCGGCGCTATTTTTCTAATGGACTGTCCTCGACCTTGGAACATTTAACGTTTAACACAAAACAATGACAGAATCGACTCTTTCCAACTTCGACTCAGTCGAAGTTTGGGAGTCAAGGGTGTCATTTTATTTAGTAATCAAAAATCCACGTTTCTTCCCTCGCCATCATCCCATCGACCTCTCGATACATCTCAACCGCCGTTCGTCAGTCAAGGACACCGAGGAATCATCCGGAAGCTTCTGAGACTCCTGTTCTTAAGAAACTCAGGACTCCGGATTTCGGTTGTATTGGCGACTGCCTAAAGAAAAAGGATCTTTTTACGTCCCCCCGATTGTTGCTCCTGTATCTCGATCGCAAATCTTCCAGTTTGCTTGAACCCAGCTGATGTCGTCGAGAAAGAAACACAGTACAGAACGTTTTCTTGCTTTTCTTACTTTCCTAATCCAAACTATTTCTCGTCTTTCCCCCAGATCTTTCTGCTGTTAGCCTACCGGTCAGACGAGGACTTCGAAAAGATCTATGGGAAGAGGAAAATCCTGTTGAAGCCTGGTGCGTTGCCATTTATATTTGAAATTGGGCGCCAATATTGTTATGTCCCAAAATAGTGTGTGTCCGCGAGTGGGCAGCGCCGGCTAGCTCTAGAGCACTTGGGGTGTGGGTACTCCAACCCTGCCCACACACACGCAACAATAAACAAACAGATGTTTGTACTTCCCAACACTTCACGCTGCAACAGCTGTCTTATGACTGGACCGAAAACATTGACGAAATATACGAAACTATAAAACTAACACAACACGTGATTATCACAAAACTAATTCCCCGACTTGTCCCTTTTCAGGTCACAGGACGCCATCAGATATATTGTGGGCTTTTGGGGGCAAACCCAAAGCCTCTGCGCTCCCACCCAACCGTAGCAGCCGTAGGTGACTCCGACTGCCCATTGGACCGGTCACCGTGAGATATCTTGGAACCGTTTACATGTTCCCTCCCCTCTGAAAGATATTCTACTCCATATTCATTATAGTATCATTTATTTACTTAAATTATTTACAGGGCTTCAGCTTCCCGTAAGGAAACCCATCAACCACCGCCCGCCGGGTGCGACAGTCACCAAAGGGATTTACGTAGACTGGTCTGTTCTCTTTATTTCGGTCCCTACCTAAAAGAGCTCTCTTAAGGGGATCCCAGACCCGATTATAACCTATTCGACGCGGTCGCTGGAGAGGATTCCCCGTGGGATTAACAAGTACTTGGCTTTGACGGTTTAAATGTCAAGCCTCGCCCAGAAGGAGCGATAAGTGGCAAATAACTAAATAAACAAATGTGAAAAAAAAACACTCGCCTTGAATTGTTCACATCCGGCAATAAACATTTTAAAATTGGTGATTTAATAAATAAATAATAGTGCAATATGGGTGAATCTATGTGCAATATATATAGGTTAATTTTTAAGTGTTATATAAGATCCCCTCCCCCAACAAATTTAATGCGAAATGAATATAAATAATTAAATAAAAAAAATAACTAAATAAACTAAGGGACAACACAATATAAAGCTAAAAAGACTATTTCGCAGTAAGCCGCCGATCTTTTCCAGGTCCGGTTGGTGATGTAATTCCACGTGCCGTGACGCGCAATCGAATCCTCCACCGAATTCTGGGGAGGATTATGCCCCCTCCTGGAGTAAATTCTCCACGCGCGCGGAGGATTTCTCGCAGGCACGACAGGTTCCTCCAGGTAGCTAGCGCTGGAGGCAGCGGGCTCGCCGATGACGTAATCTCCGGCCGAGAACCGGGGTTACTCCAAGAAAAACTTGGCCAGGCCCTAATTAATGGAACCTGGCCACTACCTTCCACGTCTCTTCTCGCTGGCCTGAAATGGGATTCCTATTGGAATTTTCTTTTTCCCCCCACTAACTGGAACGCACTCACCGTAGGGTCTTGACCAGTCCGGCTTCAGAGACCGTTCTCCGGCGTCGGCGACCGGCGAAAACTTTGCACGAGCGGGCTCACTCCTTTTTATTTATCGGTACTGACTGCGTTCGAAATTTTGGCTGCACTTATCTAGGCGCTGATGGCCACTTGAACACCACGACCGCCTGAGGAGATAGTTAATTCACCGAACCCGGTTCGACTGCGCGCCGCCGACACCAAATCTGAACTGATCTAGTGTCGGCCATTTTCCTTCCGCCAACCTATGCAGATTACGGGCCTCGGTTCCCTGCACTCTGGGTCAATGTTCCTATAACCTCCATTTGTCCGGTTTGAATTTGAATTCGCCCCCGAACTGACTCCAATTTTCACGTTGCCCATCACTGGAAACCCCAAAACCTCTTTGCATCTTTGCATGGTTTTCTCGATTACTCGATTAGTGAGGGATGGCGATGCTTGTTTCTCCGAAACGCTAGTAAAATATAGAAGACATCCCTCCTATGGACATCTTCCAGACATCTGTAAATCCGGAACTACCCTGAAAACACGGAGGATCATTTTGGGACATCAGGACAAGGCCCAACGAGGGATCACACCCACACATACTACCGAACAGATTGTTGCGATGTCTTCTTCTTCCCCAGCTGGACATCGGATTGTATTTGTTTTGGTTTTTTTGGGTGGTAATGGACTTGGAATCTCGTCGCGGGAGCCAGGTGAGTACATAATCGCAGCAAACTCTTCTCACCAACACCTTTTCTTCCAGTGCTCGTCGTGGGTCGCTTGTAGGTCCGTTCTTACTGCTTCAAATCCTTCGCGTGATATATTCCACTAGGTTTCCCTTGCAATGTCTCGGTCTCATACATGTTGTTCCCTATCCTTGACTTGATTCGACACTTAACAAATTTCTTCGCGAATTTGGCATTATAGTTCTGGACGAAATTACTCAAAGTAAAATTCTTCCGGTATACTTCCTGTCCGACTGAGAATCGTACATTTCGTGACCTCCGGTTGTACACAGCTGCGCTTCTTTCGTATGCCTTGTTTGAATTCTTCCGGATTTCTTCGCGCATCAGGACGATCTTAGATTCTCTTGGCAGGACATACAGTTCGTTGTCTTCTAATGCCTTCAAACGTCTCGCTAGTTGGTAATCTGCCCCGTTGGTGAACATATTTTGCCCAAACAGAGCGAAATATGGAGATACTCCAGTAGCCTGATGAACCGCTCCTCTGAGCGCACACTCAATCTCCGACAGATACAGATCCCAATATTGGTGATCGTCCTCTAAATAGGCTCGAATTGCATTTAGAACAGACTGGTTGACTCTTTCCGCCGCATTTGACTGGGGTGAGTAAACAGCGGTCCGAATGTGCCTAACTCCATATTCCTTCAGAAATTCCGTGAACTGCTTGGAAACAAATTGTTTCCCGTTATCGGAATGTAACAATTCCGGAACCCCAAACTTGTTAAACACCTCCTGCCTTAAAAATCGAATTACTCCCGCAGAGGTTGCTTCCCGCATGCCTTTAAGGAGTGTGAACTTCGAGAAATGATCAACTACTATGAACACATATGAATTCCCTCCTCGAGACCTCGGATACTTTCCCAGAAAATCGATGTATATTTTCTGGAATGGCCTAAGTGTAACCACTTCCGCACCAATATCGGGTTTAGGGCCGCAATTCGTTGGCTTGGTTTCTTTGCATACTGTACAATCCCTAACATAAGCTCGGACCTGGCTCACCATCCCCGGCCAGTGAAATCTCTGACGCAGCCAACTCAATGTTTTCGCCATTCCACCATGAGCTCTATTTTTCGGGCTATGCGCTTGCTCTATCAGAGTGCGTGTGAGGCTAGCAGGTATCCACAGTTTCCAGGAGTATTCCCCTAATTCGGGTTTATTATCATCTCGTTTAGACCGCAGAAACACATAATCTCCATCCACAACGAGATCTGGGAAACGTTCTTCATGTGCCAATACCTCCTTCCTAAACTCAGCGTACTCTGGAGACTCGAATTCTGTCGTCTCGAACCCCAGCAAGGGTTCTAAGTCAATTGACTCTATCATCCTGGAAAGAGTGTCAGCCACTACATTTTCTGAGCCCTTCCTATGTTCTATAACAAAGTCATGGATCTGCAACTTTAACGACCAACGAGCGAGCCGCCCATCCAGGTCCTTTAATGACATCAGCCACTTCAGGCTGGCGTGGTCTGTTATAATAGTAAAGGGCATCATTTCGACATACGGTCTGAATCGTTTCACTCCGAGGACGTCCGCCAGACATTCCTTTTCTGTGACGCTGTAGTTTTTTTGGCATTTGTTCAGCTTCTGTGAGAAGTATTCATTGGGTCTTTCGTTTCCCTGATCATCCAGCTGGAATAACACTGCCCCAACTCCCGTGTCGGACGCATCGCACTGTATGTAAAAACGCCGTGAGAAATCTGGATGGTTTAGCACGGGCGCCGTTAGGAGTGCAGTTTTCAGGGTTTCTATGGCTTGCTGAGCCGCGGGGGTTAGGTGGAATTTCCCACTCTTCTTCAAGGTATCTGTAAGAGGGGCGGAAATTTCTGCGAAATTATGGATGAACCTGCGGTACCATCCTGCTGTACCCAACAGACTACGAACCTCCCGCGGATTACGGGGATTACTTAGCTTTCGAATAGCTTCTACCTTCTTGGGATCTGTTCTCAATTCCCCTCCGCCAATTACGAAACCCAAATAGCGCAATTCTTTGAAGCAGAATTTTGATTTTTGTAACCCGATTGTGAGTCCGGCTGCCTTCAAACATTCTCCTACTTCTTTCAAAATGGATAGATGTGATTCAAAGTCTGGGGTTACTATCAGTAGATCGTCGAGATAAACAAAGACTTTCTCCCGTAGTTTGGATGGGATGACCTTATCCATCAACCGACACAGGCTTTGACCCGCGTTACAGAGCCCAAAGGGCATTACGACGAATTGGTACAAGGGCCTCCCAGGGACAGTAAATGCCGTGATCGGTCGACTCTCTTCCTCCAGCTCGATTTGCCAATAAGCATGTTTCAGGTCGACACTGCTGATAAATATGGTTGAGGCAATTCTGCTTAGGATTCCATCTATGTTTTGAAGCGGATACGCGTCCTTCTTTGTCACCTTGTTCACCCTGCGCGCGTCCAAACAAAGCCAATTTTTCCCAGGTTTCATGACCAACGTCACAGGATTGTTCCAAGCACTTTCACTTTTCTCGATGACGCCTAGTCGCAACATCTCATCCACTTCAGCATAGACCGCCGCCTGTTTTGCCGGAGACATCGGATAGTGCCTTGACTTCACTGGTACTGCTCCTTCTTCCAGTTCTATCCTGTGCTTTAGAAGCTTAGTTCGTCCCAATCCAACCTTTTCGTAAGAAAGAAACACTCCTCGGACTTCAGCGAGTCGGGATTCCTGGGACGCCGATAGTTGATGACGCTCGGGCTCGACAGTTGTAACTTCCTGCGACTCTACCAATTCCTCGACGCCACCTCCAAATAGTTCCGGAGCAATATTGAACTCCTTCCAAAAGTCTACCCCCAAATACAACTGTTGCTTTACATAGATACAGGACATAGATACAAACACTTGCTGGCCTCTCGTCCCCAGAAAACCACTCTCACAATGACCTTGCCTAATATCCGATCTTCGCCGTTCGCTGTCTTCACGTTTCCCCTGTATGGCAACCAATCCAATCCAAGTCGATCCACCAACTCCTGGCAGCCGGTACCTAGGACGCTAATAGTAGCTCCGGAATCCAGCAGTCCTTGGATCTCCTGATCTGCTATAGTCACTGTCGCGTAGGGCCTTGGATCGTCGTTAGTATACTTAAGGGATTCTATTTGTGATATCGTGCGCTGGACCTCCTGCCTTTCCATTTTCCTCTTTTTGTCATTCCCTCCAGTTGGTGGTCCTTAAAAATGCGTTCCCGAGCCTCCTTGTATCGACGCCATCTCTCCTCCAGTGGTTTAGCCAGTCTTCCTTGCCATTCCACCCTTGGTCCTGCGTTTACTTCGCACGACTCTGGGTCATTGGGGTTACACCGACCGGCTCCCGTCCGGAACGCAACTCCACTGGGTTTATTACGTTCCCCTTCGAGTTTCCCGGATTGCAGTTTGGGCATTTAGGCGTAAACGTGTCGGCTCGCCCGCATTTGAAACAGAAGTAGGACTTTTGCGGCGTTTCACATTGCTTGTAGACGTGCCCGGCTTGTTTGCAGTTCCAACATACCACGGCTTTCCGCTGGCTGGCAGATTGGATGGCCTCTACTAGTCCTCCCTCGTTTTCATGTTCGACTACTGTCCGGAAATTCTGGTCTGGAATGCTACTGTACTGGACTTCGTCTACCCTCTGCCCTCGAAATTCTAGTCGTCTGGGGGGTACCGCTCGTGGTGTCTGTCTGGCTCGTCCCACTTCCTCCGCGAAAGCTCTTTCGGCTTCTCGACATTCGTCTCTGAGATGCTCCAAGGTGTATGCCCGAATCGGAAACACGTACTGCTTCAAGGGCTCGCACAGATTACGCTTGACGGTCTTGATCATCCATTTTTCAGTAATTGGTAACCGCACCGCAGCCCTCAGTCTTCGCATTGCGTGGAAGAAAGAATCCAGGGACTCTCCTGGCATTTGCCTCCGCTCACTCAGGTCCTGGATCCTCTCATAGTCGCATCTAGTGTCGCTATACCGACGCTCAATAGCCGTCCGCAATTCCATCCAGGTTGCTATGTTGTTAGTACGGACTAGCAGCCAATACCATTCCGCCGCACCATCGACCACCAAGCGGTGAAAGTTCCGGATAAAATCCGCCCAAGGCGTGCCATAATGCTGCCTTAAGTGCTCGACTCGGAATATAAATTCTTCCGCACTCATCCCATCGGAGTTGCCAGAGAACTGTATCCCCCATTTGTGCACTGGGACACAGTGTCCTCGTTGAGAATACCCGTAGACTTCCTGATTCCGCCGAAGAGCCCCTTGACGCCCTTCCGTGTCTCTTGGTTGATGGCTTCCACTGGAAGAGGAACCTGGTCGGAAGTGCATACCTTCCTGTTGAAGATTCTGCTGATAACTCGACAGACCGATTTTCTGACGTTGTCCAGTAGGGCCAGGATTTACTTCCGGGTCATTCCTGAATCGGTTTTATATTGTCGGCTGATTCCCAGGTTGACGACTTCCAAAATGACCGCCCGCAGGGAGTCCCTGAGACCTAGTTGATGGTTCTGACCCCCCCGATAGAGATGTCCTCCTTTCGACCTGCCTCATCAACTCAGCAAAGCCTTCTTTGATATTTTTGTCAATCTTGTCGCCGATAAACCGTTCCATTTCAGCTCGAAACTGGTTCTGGGATTCTACCACAAAGTTCCTCAAATCGCTACCATGGCCCTGGTTGTCGACTCCTTCGAGGCTATACTGTTCTTGGATCGGATCTAGCTGGATGTGTGAAAAAGTCGGTATTGGTGTGGAGTTGTCGCCATGCTCTAATCTTTTTGGGTTTCCCACCCGGTTTAGAGTGTGAAACGGCATTGGTTGCAGTGGGGGACAAGTGAATGATCCTGCCTTCCCTAAAGGGGTCGTAAGGTTCCCGCAATCTTCCATATTATTTCCATTCTTACCCATTTTAATTTGATTATTTATTTCTTCAAAAATTATTAGTTCGTAATTTTTCTTTCAGGAAACAGAAGGGGAAAGAACTACTATAAACTTTCCCATCCTACACTGTGAACTGATCTGCGGCGCTATTTTTCTAATGGACTGTCCTCGACCTTGGAACATTTAACGTTTAACACAAAACAATGACAGAATCGACTCTTTCCAACTTCGACTCAGTCGAAGTTTGGGAGTCAAGGGTGTCATTTTATTTAGTAATCAAAAATCCACGTTTCTTCCCTCGCCATCATCCCATCGACCTCTCGATACATCTCAACCGCCGTTCGTCAGTCAAGGACACCGAGGAATCATCCGGAAGCTTCTGAGACTCCTGTTCTTAAGAAACTCAGGACTCCGGATTTCGGTTGTATTGGCGACTGCCTGAAGAAAAAGGATCTTTTTACGTCCCCCCGATTGTTGCTCCTGTATCTCGATCGCAAATCTTCCAGTTTGCTTGAACCCAGCTGATGTCGTCGAGAAAGAAACACAGTACAGAACGTTTTCTTGCTTTTCTTACTTTCCTAATCCAAACTATTTCTCGTCTTTCCCCCAGATCTTTCTGCTGTTAGCCTACCGGTCAGACGAGGACTTCGAAAAGATCTATGGGAAGAGGAAAATCCTGTTGAAGCCTGGTGCGTTGCCATTTATATTTGAAATTGGGCGCCAATATTGTTATGTCCCAAAATAGGACTACGTGTGTCCGCGAGTGGGCAGCGCCGGCGAGCTCTAGAGCACTTGGGGTGTGGGTACTCCAACCCTGCCCACACACACGCAACAATAAACAAACAGATGTTTGTACTTCACAACACTTCACGCTGCAACAGCTGTCTTATGACTGGACCGAAAACATTGACGAAATATACGAAACTATAAAACTAACACAACACGTGATTATCACAAAACTAATTCCTCCACTTGTTCCTTTTCAGGTCACAGGACGCCATCAAATATATTGTGGGCTTTTGGGGGCAAACCCAAAGCCTCCGCGCTCCCACCCAACCGTAGCAGCCGTAGGTGACTCCGACTGCCCCTTGGACCGGTCACCGTGAGATATCTTGGAACCGTTTACATGTTCCCTCCCCTCTGAAAGATATTCTACTCCATATTCATTATAGTATCATTTATTTACTTAAATTATTTACAGGGCTTCAGCTTCCCGTAAGGAAACCCATCAACCACCGCCCGCCGGGTGCGACAGTCACCAAAGGGATTTACGTAGACTGGTCTGTTCTCTTTATTTCGGTCCCTACCTAAAAGAGCTCTCTTAAGGGGATCCCAGACCCGATTATAACCTATTCGACGCGGTCGCTGGAGAGGATTCCCCGTGGGATTAACAAGTACTTGGCTTTGACGGTTTAAATGTCAAGCCTCGCCCAGAAGGAGCGATAAGTGGCAAATAACTAAATAAACAAATGTGAAAAAAAACACTCGCCTTGAATTGTTCACATCCGGCAATAAACATTTTAAAATTGGTGATATAATAAATAAATAATAGTGCAATATGGGTGAATCTATGTGCAATATATATAGGTTAATTTTTAAGTGTTATATAAGATCCCCTCCCCCAACAAATTTTATGCGAAAAGAATATAAATAATTAAATAAAAAAAATAACTAAATAAACTAAGGGACAACACAATATAAAGCTAAAAAGACTATTTCGCAGTAAGCCGCCGATCTTTTCCAGGTCCGGTTGGTGATGTAATTCCACGTGCCGTGACGCGCAATCGAATCCTCCACCGAATTCTGGGGAGGATTATGCCCCCTCCTGGAGTAAATTCTCCACGCGCGCGGAGGATTTCTCGCAGGCACGACAGGTTCCTCCAGGTAGCTAGCGCTGGAGGCAGCGGGCTCGCCGATGACGTAATCTCCGGCCGAGAACCGGGGTTACTCCAAGAAAAACTTGGCCAGGCCCTAATTAATGGAACCTGGCCACTACCTTCCACGTCTCTTCTCGCTGGCCTGAAATGGGATTCCTATTGGAATTTTCTTTTTCCCCCCACTAACTGGAACGCACTCACCGTAGGGTCTTGACCAGTCCGGCTTCAGAGACCGTTCTCCGGCGTCGGCGACCGGCGAAAACTTTGCACGAGCGGGCTCACTCCTTTTTATTTATCGGTACTGACTGCGTTCGAAATTTTGGCTGCACTTATCTAGGCGCTGATGGCCACTTGAACACCACGACCGCGTGAGGAGATAGTTAATTCACCGAACCCGCTGCGACTGCGCGCCGCCGACACCAAATCTGAACTGATCTAGTGTCGGCCATTTTCCTTCCGCCAACCTATGCAGATTACGGACCTCGTTCCCTGCACTCTGGGTCAATGTCCCTATAACCTCCATTTGTCCGGTTTGAATTTGAATTCGCCCCCGAACTGACTCCAATTTTCACGTTGCCCATCACTGGAAACCCTAAACCCACTTTGCATTCCTGGTTTTCTCGATTACTCGATTAGTGAGGGATGGCGACATAACAAGATATTCTTGATCAGGATCACTAGCCGAGTCGATCTAGCCATGTCCGTCTGTCTGTCCGGATGAACGCTGAGATCTCGGAAACTATGGGAGCTAGGCTTTTGAGATTTGGCTTGCAGATTGCTGAGCTTCTTACGCAGTTTGTTTCTGTAGAGTTCCACGCCCACTCTAACGCCCACAAACCGCCCAAAACTGTGGCTCCTACAGTTTTGATGCTAGAATAAAAATTTTAACTGAAATGTAATGTTCTCATCAATACCTATCGATTGACCCAAAAAGAGTTCGCCACGCCCACCCTAACGCCCATGAACCGCCCACAAACTTCAAAAAATCGTAAATATGAACGTGGATATCTCGGAAACTATCAAAGATAGAGAATTGGGATTTCAGATTTAGATTCCGTAGCCTTATACGCAGCGCAAGTTTGTTACGCGAATATGCCACGCCCACTCTAACGCCCACAAACCGCGAAAACCTGTGACGCCCACTATTTTTATGCTAGATAAAAAATTTTAACTGAAATGTAGTTTTCTCATCAATTCCTATCGATTGACCCAAAAAAAAATTTGCCTCGCCCACTCTAACGCCCATAACGCTTAAATCTGTATACCGCCGGTAGGTGGCGCATTTTAATCTCGCTTTGCTACTTGCATATCTCTATTTAGCTGAGTTACGGGTATCTGATAGTCGAGGTACACGACTATGGCGTTCTTCCTTGTTATTTTTTAGCTATGACACCACTTTTGCACGAACACCGTCGTCGGGTGACGCAGCCGCAGCAGCTAATTAACTTCTGAATCCGGTCACTTATATTAATTGCATCGCGAAAGGTATCTCTCTATATCTAGCTCTCTCATTATTGTGTACTGGCATTCTTGGGCCCAGCATTCGGCTGGCTGCCCCTTTGTTAAATAAGTACGAGTATGATCTCGACATTAAACGCACTCTCGTCTCGCCTGCTGTACTCTTTCTCGCTAATAAATTGCTAACAAGCATAAAGCAACCTGAAATTCGTATTTTAATTTAGCAATAACTAATAAAAATGCTTCTTAGTTCAACACTGGTGACCCCGACGTGATTTGTGCATGAATTATACTAAGTGAAAATCATATAATTCTATTTATTGACTTTTTCGTTCTTGCGGCTGCGGTGCATTGGCGGAGCAGCAATCATAAGGCCTTAAATGCAGTGAGCGCTATAAATAAATAGCAGTTGGTGTTTGCTGAAATTTACATATGAGGCGCAAAATCAGCTATACATAGAAGCGTACATAGCCAAGTAACGGGCTGTTATTCCCTCGTTTGCTTTGCGCTTATCTTCCCGCTGAAGCCGAATTTCGGGCATTTCGTCTGCTGTTGTTGTGGAAGCCATACCTACGGGAACTTTTGCTTACAAGTCGTTAAACGTTAGTGCTACCACGGCAGATGGAAGCCCACAACGAATAGTAGGCAAGATGAAAGTTAATATAGAATATGGAAACATTCAAAAGATTTTAAACATTTATATTGTACCATCACTAAAGCAAGATCTATACTTGGGCATAGATTTTTGGAGGCTGTATGATCTTCTTCCCAAAAATCTGCATATATCCGAGCTAGAATCTAAAAAGTCTAGCAAAGTTAGCAGCGACGTCGAGGTAGATCAACACGACTTGTCTGAAGCAGTTCATGTTATCATTCCTCTTATCAGATAACGGATCACAATTCCGTTCTGAAGCGTTTCAGAAACTAATGAAGACTTATGAGATTTCACACATGCTGACGGCTGTTCATTCGCCTCAACCTAACGCCTCTGAGCGAGTCAATCGTTCTGTTATTTCCGCGATTCGAGCTTACCTTCGTCCAGATCAGAAAGATTGGGATGAGTATTTGAATAGGATATGTTGTGCCTTGAGATCCTCGATCCATGCGAGTATCGGTACAACGCCGTACTATATGGCTTTCGGCCAGCATATGGTAACTTCCGGTTCTACTTATTCCTTGCTTTGGAGACTGAACATGCTAGATGATCGTTCCTTAGTTTTTAATAGGCAAGATTAATTTGAAATAGTCCGAGAGGAAGCGACTAAGCAAATGCAGAAAGCTCACGATCGGAACGAAAAGCTTTATAATTTGCGCTCGACAGATGTCTCCTACGCTGAAGGGCAAGAGGTATTCCGACGCAATTTTAAGCAAAGTTGCTTTCAGACCGGCTATAACACCAAGTTCGGTCCATCATTCGTAAAAGCCCGAGTTCGAAGAAAATTGGGAAGATCTTATTACGAACTAGAGGACTTGCAAGGTCGACTCTTGGGTAACTATCACGCGAAAGATATTCGCCAGTGATGCGACTCCAGGCGGTAATCTGTCTAGGGAATCTAAAGCCAAATACGCTAGCCTGATTCTAGCGGGGGGGTTTTTGTAACGGCGCCTGTAGCGACTGGCGAACCTAGGTTCAGCCTCAAAGCCTACTATACAGGGTCCGCTTAAACCAAAGCTTGACCTAGTGTGGCCACCTGTGTCGGCTATTCGATATTTCGATAGTTTTGAACAGCTGAGCCAGGGTGGTCTTGGAAAGTTCTAGTTTTGACACCTGTCGGTCGTCATATGATATATATTTCCGCCAAGAGCCTCGCTGGTATTCAGCCGATTCCGGTTAAGTTCTTCCTTTTTTAACCTGCGAGAGAAACAGACGTGCCAGCAGCTCAAAATTTTAATTTCAAGTTAAAGACTAAAAGTCCGAAATATATATTTTTTGAGCGGCATCCGGTATTTTTGAGTGGCATCCAGTATTCTAAGTGGTGTTTTTAGCACTCAGTGTGGCTGCCAGCTATAAAAGCTAGCCAGCGAATAAAGCTTAAAGTAAGTGCAAGTGCATTTTGTTAGAAATTGGTGCGTGTTTAACCTCCAACAAAATTTCACTACAGGTATTTCTAAAATTCCGGGTGAAAAATCCAGCCAGTGCTGCCACAAGTTGCCGCCAAAGGCGCATCTTATTGATTCGGCCAATTCACTGGAGGATTTACCACCTCAAGAAGGCCAAAATCAAATCTCGGGGCCCAATCGTCAGGTATGGTTTTTTTGAGACACACATGTCGCCATATCTGTAATTAATTTGAATGACCAATCGTCAGGTTGGGCCGCGAGGAATGATTTGGAGAGATTAGTGCCCTGAAGTACCCCTATCTACTATCTACCTATCTACGGGTCATGTAGTGCCGACCAAGAAGAGCAGTTTATATAAAGAGGACCGATGGCAGTTTAATTCAATTACATAACCTGTCCCGATACATCATGCCGCGCATCCGTACAACAGCCGAGTTTTAAGGGGTGCGCGTATCCGTCTAGGAGGTTTCCGAGTGGAATATCGCTGTCGCAGATTTAGGGATTTATACCCGTTTATGTTGTAAAAGCGCCGCGTGTGTGAACGGCCGTAACCTAGCATGGCACACTAGCCAACCGGGTTTAACCTTAATGGAGATAAAAACTCTCTTTCGTATTGGATCAGTCCTAACCCTGTTATGTAACCAACGTGCTTTGAAAAGAAAATCAATGAAATCCAAAATATGTAAACCATAAAGCAAACAATCATTTTTCGTAAAGCCTTAAGTGGCAACGCCATGTAAAGCGATAGTTATATTTGACAAATTGAAAGAAAATAACCAGTCACTCGGGTTAAAAGAGATAATGCACGCCGAGAAGCATTAATTTAATTTAAGAAGAGCTAGATTTTTTTAGGTTTTAATGTGAAATTTGTTATTGCAAAGCATTCAAGGAAGTACGATGAATTAGGTACGGGTTACAAGTTTAGTTTAAATCGTTCGCGCGTCTAAGAGAAATGAGAGAAATGTTTATTTGCCCTTTAAATTCTACATGGCGAGAAATATCGCAACCCTTTAGATTACAGCCAACCCATCCCGTCCGGAGATCGATCTTCAACGTTGGAGGAAATGCCGTGAGTCACACTAACTAATCACATATATATATTACTTTATTCACATTTCTTGCCGAACCGTAAATTGAACGAAACTTAATCAAACATAAGCCCCGATCTAAAACAATTAATTAATTAAATAAAATACCTTGAGTTATTTGCATTCTCTAAGAATTAATTTGCGATTTTCAAAAGAAGTTGAATAAATTACGATCGCCTACTATTAAATCGTAGTCTCTAATTGCCTGTCAGTCTGTCAGTCTGTCAGTCTGTCAGTCTGTCAGTCTGTCAGTCTGTCAGTCTGTCAGTCTGTCAGTCTGTCAGTCTGTCAGTCTGTCAGTCTGTCAGTCTGTCAGTCTGTCAGTCTGTCAGTCTGTCAGTCTGTCAGTCTGTCAGTCTGTCAGTCCTGTCAGTCTGTCAGCGTCTGTCAGTCTGTCGTCAGTCTGTCAGTCGTCGCTGTCAGTCTGTCAGTCTGTCCTGTCAGTCTGTCAGTGTCAGTCTGTCAGTCTGTCAGTCTGTCAGTCTGTCAGTCTGTCAGTCTGTCAGTCTGTCAGTCTGTCAGTCTGTCAGTCTGTCAGTCTGTCAGTCTGTCAGTCTGTCAGTCTGTCAGTCTGTCAGTCTGTCAGTCTGTCAGTCTGTCAGTCTGTCAGTCTGTCAGTCCTGTCAGTCTGTCAGTCTGTCAGTCTGTCAGTCTGTCAGTCTGTCAGTCTGTCAGTCTGTCAGTCTGTCAGTCTGTCAGTCTGTCAGTCTGTCAGTCTGTCAGTCTGTCAGTCTGTCAGTCTGTCAGTCTGTCAGTCTGTCAGTCTGTCAGTCTGTCAGTCTGTCAGTCTGTCAGTCTGTCAGTCTGTCAGTCTGTCAGTCTGTCAGTCTGTCAGTCTGTCAGTCTGTCAGTCTGTCAGTCTGTCA